ACCAGTTCGGTTCGATGGATCGAATTTGAATCATTTGCGCGACAGTTGTTTGGCGCGTCTTCAGCAAACGCTTTGAACATCACACACACTCTTATACGTCAACGAACAGTACATTTTTCACTGGCTTCTATCCCAACCTCTCACGGGACGATGCATCTGGAGAACTATATCAGATAAAGTCAACAACTGCGCAATAGCACAGTTTTTTTAGCCAAACAATTTACAAAATACATTAATAATTAGAAAAGCGTTATCCAAGTTTGGCGCTAACAGACAAAAGCTTAATTAAAGAGTTCTATCTCATCAAGCGAAGAAGTNTTTACAAAATACATTAATAATTAGAAAAGCGTTATCCAAGTTTGGCGCTAACAGACAAAAGCTTAATTAAAGAGTTCTATCTCATCAAGCGAAGTTAATTAGGTGAAATTCATTTTTACCCTCGGTTGCTAAAGTAGCGTTCGTATTTGATCTCACCTGGAACAAATCATCATGAAAATATGTGTGTTTGAGTGTGTATGATATAATTATTTGTTTTCTTCTCTTACGGGAAACAATATATAATCATGGATCAATCAAGCTTGTATACAGTCGCGCGTAAACAAATATTCCGGTTAACGCACCCCGGGATTGCGGTTACACATACATACATACACACACACACACAGTGGGATCAATTTCAAATTCTAATGATGACTTCAGGTCACTCAGGCTCACTTCATATTCGTAGCCATCGGTTTCGCACTCAGCAAGCGTCGAGAACGGGTTACGGTCAGAACGAACTGACTGTTCCTACACAAAACTTCCTATCAACCGTGAACGAACGGGTATCGAACATGATGACTATAACGAGATCGGTTCCCCCCCCCCTCCAGCCCGTCCCCTCCCTCCCGCTCCGGTCGAAACCAACGTGTCATCGTGTCCCCAAATCCTCCCGAACAGGATGCGCAGTGGAGCAACGCATGCGGGGCAAATTTTTCGGTGCAACTAACGAGAAAGTTAAGTCAGCTGAGCGAGCGCAAGCGCTGAACTCGTTCGGATCGTTGACTGAATTCGGGCTAGGCCCGATGGACTGACAGCTCCTCACCTGCCTTGACCTGGTGGCATTATTCCACTCACATGCAAATCATGGAACGTCTTTCTTTTTCATAAAGATTATTGTACCATGATTTACCTGGCACACAGTCCGGATTCAGACAGGTGTGAAAATATAAATATATAAGTGAACGGGTATACTTGAGTGTGGGGGGAGGATCATTCCTTTGGGCCGATTTTGCTTGCATCGACTGTGTAAATTATCCCACGGACTACAAAATCATCGCACCTAATCGCATTGAGGACCTCGGCCCGAATAGGGCACCGACTAAGATGAGGGGGAATTCCAACTCCGCCCCGCCCACCATTGATTAATGTAGAATTTGTAAAAAAGACTAAACTGGAAAAAGGATTTACAATTTGATTATTTCGCCGAAGAATAATGCACCGTGTCATGTCCCACACATAATTTGTTAACCTGCAAACATATTCATTTTACATTCTTCGTTGTTGAATAAAGATCAATTATTTTAATATTCATGTGTTTCTTTCCGTTGTCTCTCTCTCTCTCTCCTAAATCGCTTCTCTATCAGGGTGACAATGGCCGAGTACACTTTTCCTTATTGGACACTTATGCTTTTGGTCGTTCCAGCCGACTACCCCCCTATGACACAGATGTAGACTCGGGATCGATCGACGATGTCAATTTGTCCAAACACGTGGTCGATCAACCGCTATTCCGTATCACCCCGGATGGCGGTATAGAGACCTTAGTCGAATTGGACCGGGAAGCGGTGCCCACATATCTACTCAAAATCGGGGTGCATGATCGGGGTGCTCAACCTTTGGCCAGTACGACAATGCTCCGAGTCGACGTGCTTGATGCAAACGATAATGCTCCCGTGTGGGGATTTCCCACGCTCACCGATCGGACTGTTAATCTGACCACGGGAATGAAACCAGGCAGTTTGGCCGGTCGATTGCGAGCCGATGATGCGGATGCTGGCGATGCTGGTCGGGTGGATTTCCTATTCCTCGGCCCCCGAGGAGAACCGCTTAAAGCGGTGACCATTGAGGAGGGATTATTGAACAGTTTGGCCGTACTGACCAATCCCCGTGCGGCTGGATCATCATCATCAGCCCAGGGTGCCACAGCGAGCGTGACCACGACAACAACACCAACCAGTTCGTCCGGTGATGGTCGATCACAAAGGGGCAGAAATTCGGCGCAGTCAGCACGATCCAAATCACGACCGGAAGAGAATGGCTATCGTATGGGCCCGTTGTATTTGAACGGTTCGACTGGGGAAATTTGGATAGCAGAACCATTGACCGCGGGCACAATCAATCTGCATCTGCGCGCCCAAGATCGGGGCAAACCACGAACCCAGACAGACGCATGGCTGACAATCCATGTGTTTGTTGACCCGAATGAGGATCCGAGCTTTTTCAGTCTGGGAGGGGACGGAACATTGAATATCACCATCATTTTAGTAATGATTACCATAACAGCCATCGTCTCCTTGTTCCTGATTATTGGCATTGTTTGTGTACGTCGAAGACCGAATCGATATGTGGGCAATCGGGGAAATACGATGACAGATGGTTCCCTATCACCCGGGCATCATGCCACTTTGAATTACTCAATGGATCCACATAAAGAGGGTTTGCCCTCCGCCATGGCGTCCACTGGTTGGGCATCTCCGATGAGCATGTACGCTGGAAATCAGTTCATGGCCCCAGCTGGCTCTATGGCTGGAACCGTTCTAGATGACGGTCAATTGTT